GTAAAAAAAAATCATTTTTTATTAATACCAAAAAAAAAGAGAATCATTTTTTTAATACCCACACGCGTCAATGAGAGGCGTGAGTGAAATGAGAGCCAGGCGCGTGATGAATCCCTAACTATGCCATAATATTTCTTATTCACGTGAGATGCGAGGAATGTTTGCATTGTTTGAACAAGTATGAGTCATTTCTTGACCTAATTCTAGGCATTATAAGTGGAGACTCATTGAGCACTTTTACGGTATACTGCTATTGAGAATTTAGACGATGGTGGAAAGGGTTACCAATGTCGAGGATGCAAGGTGAAAGTTAGGGCTACCAAACAACTAAGTGTTTCTAAAAGCACCTTCTATTATGACTATACATCTTAAGCGATTTGAAGCATATAGAGCCGAAAAGATTGACTCTGAAATCCACTTTACCTTTATAATTGAAAAAAGTCAAAAATTAAAAAGAAGACAAGAATATGAACCTATTAATTGAAAAATGTGACAAATCTTATCCATTTCAAGACCATATGTGAAAAATGTGATAAATCTTGATAATTTTCGCACGAACAGTGTGCACGAACAATGGATATATTTTCTTCGTTGTCTTTATTGCCATGATGATTGTATTCCTCTTGATCAAGTATCCCAAAGAAAAGATACAGAACTCAAATCCTCTGATTCATATCATCGTTGATCAAATTAGCAACAATGCAAATGGAAGGAATATGCTGTGTTTAGCGGGACTTATCTTTGTAGTTTTAAAAGACGATCAAGCGGACATGAAGGAGTTTTATGCAACCATAGTTCCGCTCAAGGTTCAAATAGACAAACCACCACTGATCACTCCACCTCAATCCTCTGATGTAAGCTCAAAGGTAACCCCACCTGAAGAAAGCTCAGAGAAAACCTCACCCTCAGAGAATTGCGCCATAAAAGAGTGATAGAGAAACTTACTTTGAAAAGCACCATTAAAATTTATTGCATCGAACATTCTTGAAAAATATAGATGGAGAGATAATTCGTTCATCGAAATTTTGGTAAAACAATCAATATGTGACTGGAGAATCATTTTAAAAAAGTATATACTTATGTTACAAATAAAATAAACCTTGAATAAGGGAAATACCTTAATTTTTTTAGTGATTTGACAATACTAGGGATATCATTTTTTACCTTTTTCAAATTAATTCTTACTACTTGTTTTGAATTGAAATATAAAAAAATTACAAAAAGGTGAAGAATGGTTATCAAACGTGTAATCGAATTATCACAATCGCAACCGCAAAAATTACGAACCGGTTAAGAAGAACCAATCAAACATTTGGTTTAGCGAATTTGGTAGCCAATGTTACCCTTCCTACACTTTTTTTGTCTGCCCTTCTTCAGGAGCGATTTTTTTCTTCTTCAGATACTCTCGTCGACTCTCTGTCTCCTTTCCTTTGACGGCTGAAGCAACATCGAAGCAGTGATAACATCTCTTCGCTTC